ATTGAGCAATGAGAACAACCTATTTTATTTTCATCCTGAATGCTCAGGCCAGATGGTAGAAGAAGGGCAAAAGTGAGTTTCTAGTACAGGATTATGTTGTCCTAACATGCCTTGACAAATATGTGACTGAATATGTAAAAGAGAAATGTGGGAAAGGGGGCTGAAGAGGCAGAAATAGAAATAATAAGGAACAAATGAAAGGGAAAATACAGTATAAAAGTGGGTGAAGGTTAATTATGGGAGGAGGTGTTATTAAAATTCATAGCTTTCTGGCTTCTCAAAAGGAAAGTGTAGGTAGATGGTAACTTTTCTTTAGGAGCCTTTGCTAAGAGCTCCAGCCTCAGTTTTATATTAGTATCTCTTTTTTTTCATAAATACCAATTGTGTTTTAATAATCCAATTTAGGATGGTTATTTTTCTTGAGTTGGCTTCAGTAGCAACCCCAGTAATTTTCCTGGAGGAGATATTTGGGGCCAAGTCTCTACATATAAAGTTGGCTGAAGATGTAAGAAGTTGTCTTTCTGTGACATCTTTTGCAAAATGAGAGATGGTTGTGTGAGTTTTTGTACCAGGTACTTTTGCATCCAAATCCTATCCCTTGCTTCTTCTGTTTCTACTTCCTGTTTACCTGTTCCTTTGCTGGCCTCCCACTTGCTGGCTGTCTGATCATGGGAACTGCTTGTTCATTAAAGTTGTATTGCCATTTAAAAAAAGCTGTTGCTGGAGTAGAACTCTCTAATCCCATCTTCAGACACATTCCTGGCCATTTTCCCACTTGTTGGCCTGGCTTCTGAGACAAGACCCTGAAAACATTCTGAGATTTTCCAAAGCAGATTCTCTGGGTTTTCAGAGCAGGAATCTGTAACAAGATAAAGCTTAGCATAGTGTGGTGTTGAAGTTGAAATGACAACAAGAGAAGGAAACATGTTTGTCACTACCTGATTACAGCAATGAAGGATCTGTGGAAACAATTTTGAGAAATTTGCAAGTGGGAAGAGAGGATTTTGATCCACCCATATATTTGTGTACTTGGACAAGATAATAAAATAATCAGGAGGAAACAGCAAAAAGTTGCCCATATTGTTTCATGTATTTGTTCAATGAGGGCCAATGAAGATGCATTTGTACAAACAGCATAGAGTTAATCTTTCCTTTAGGATTAAAATTAAGATTGAGAGTTTTGGGGGGTGTCAATTGTTTTTTCTTTTTTGCTACTTTGATATTATTGATTGTGATTGTAGTTTTTATTTGTTTGCTGCCTGAGTGGCTATATAGATATATTAAATAAATAAATAGTTTAATATAGTCCTCCAGTTCAATAGTATGATGTAAATTACTTAAGAAAGTAAATGTGTCTCTGTTCCTGGAGTTTTTAGTCCAACAAATATTTTTTTCCAATGATATTGAGAAAAGTATGCATGATAGACATTCCTATACTATTTAATTTACTGTGTAGGCTAATGCTCATATAATAAGGAAGGGGGAAATATGTTCTCATGCTTAGTATGTTGTCTCTGATTCTTAAAAATGAAATATAGACTAAACAGAATTCAGTGAGACTATGATAGAAAGTTTATGCAAGCTTAGAGTAGTGTTTCTCAAACTTTGTGTAATAATGAATCACTAAATAAACATATGTTTACGTAAGAGTCACTTGAACTGTGAGATGGGTGGCAAATAAATTTGATAAATAAACAAACAAATCCTTTAGTGATATGGGAATTCATATATTTTGGTAAATAAAATAATGTTATAATTGTATGCCTTCACCTTAATTTTAAAGGCCTTTAATATTTAATAATTGAACGCCATTGACATTGACAAAATCATCATCAATCAGTTGCAAACAGCAATTTTACTTGGAACAAGTTATATCCTGCAATGACATCTTTATTTATTATTATATATTACAATATTATAATATAGGTAATATAAATAATAATATAATTAATATAATAATATAATCTAATAATTAACAGTTCTGCAGGAAATACCATTCGCCTGCAAGCAAGAACTGATGAGACCATAAAATAATATAATAGAAAATAAAGTATCTAAAGTGCTCTGGGACTTTAGAATTCAGACATATAGCTATCTGCCACATAATATTCCAGACTTAACAATTGTTGATAAAAAAAAAGGTGAAAAATTTCTGAATAGTGGATGTGGCAGTACCTGAAGACAGCAGAAGAAAAGAAAAAGAACTGGAGAAAATTATAGGATCTGCAAATAGAAGTAGAGCAACTATAGCAAAGGAAAACAAAGGTTGTATTAATAGTAATAGGTGCTTTGGGCACAACCCCAAAACAACTGGAGCACCATTTGAACACCATCAGCATTGACAAAATTGCCATCAGTCAATTGTGAAAGACAGCTTTATTTGGGACAGCTTACATCCTGCAATAATATCTTTAATATCAGCGAAGAACAACATGTAGATCTTGGTCCTTGGGAAGGCCTTGAAAGGTGAATAAAAATGCCAAATCTAATCTAAACATCTGGCTAACTATGTGTAAATAACAGTAAATTGATAACATAACAGTAAATTGATATGCCATCTGACTCCCAGTGAAAAAAAAGCTGTAGTGTAGTTAAATTATTTTGTTCTGTCTTAATTAAAAGTAATTTTGTTGGCATCAGACTTTGAGAAATACTGCTTTGGAGCAATGACAATAAAGGTCAGGTATTTTGATGACTTTGTCAACTGATGAAAGTTTCCATTGGAGAAGCTGTTTGTTGCCATGGAATATTTAACACTAGAATTATTGTATTAGATTAAGCAACACTTCTTAAAATGTAAGTATGTGAAATGTTTTTACTAAAATTTTAGGAAATGGACAGAAACAGAATAAAATTTCCTATAGGAGTATATTGACATTGATATATTGATTGTGCTGTCAAATACCTTATAACTCTTCTTTTTGAAAGCAATATTCATAACCTCATGAATCATGAAATGGAAACAAGAATTCAACATTCAAAGCTATTCAGAGTAAACAAAACATACTAAGGGGTACATTTACCTCCCCCTTCCAGTTATGTTTTATTATTTCTGAACCCCATAGTATTTAATTTCATCTGAAGAAGAAAAGGATTGTGATAGCAAGTATCTTGCAATTTACATTTAATACAAATGTCAGAAGAATTGGTCATTTTTCACATATTCACATTTACCTTCTTATATCCTGTGTGAGAGCCAGGTTTTAATCATCAAATGTTTTGGCTCCAACATTTGTAGATTTTTCTTCCACATTACTGAATTCCAGATGATCTGGGAAAGTAATTGGTACTCAAGGTTGAAAAATAGTCTCTTATTTTTTTTCTAACATGTTAATATTTGAGCAATAAGGAAATGAAGATTCAGGTATTTTTGAGACTGTTGACCTCTATTTTTTTTTCAGTAGTACATTTTGTAGACCTTGAAAATGTCTTTGGAGTTTTATTTTTGCACGTGTTAAAATAGTTCATTGCTGCAATCTTGAATGACAGTTTGGGTAATGGTCATAAGAATGTATTTACTGTATATATACAGCTAAAACATTGCATTCTTTTTATCTGTATTTAGAAATTTGTAAGAATGAGCTTTGGAAAACCTCTGAATATTAAGGGCAGGCATTATGTGGAACTGGTATGTGTTTCTCCAGCAGAAGGTTGTATTCTATTAATTAGGTAGATGGACTTTGAGGTAAGGTATTCTATACTGATCCCATGAGCACATATATTCATATGTTCTTCATATATATATTCTTTGTTCTGTCTTTCTTTGGACCTAACTACTGTATATATAGTCATGGTCAGAAATGGTCTTTCTCATCTCCACCAATTCAAGACTCCAAATTATTGGCTATAAGGAAAACAGTAAGCAGCTCACAAGCTGTACCAGTGAAATATATTTTGTTTCATCACATTAATGAGCCATTTGGAATATTTCAACTTTTGCTTCATTAAATTTAAATGTCATCTTTCTAGTTGCAGAGTGTATACTTGGAAAAATTTCTGTGTTACTGTAATTTAATATTTGCCACCTTTTGTTTACCTTGCATATAATAATGAATATTACTAACCAATCTAAGCAGGAATACATTATGCAAAATATTGCAGGTACTTAATATCCACATAATAGTGGCCAGATTACAGAATGAAAAATGATTTTGCCTAGTATATCCAGCTGCCTCAGCAAGCAATTGTATTAAGTACTTGTTTTCCAGAAGAAGAATGAATAACCATGGGATAGGAAAGACAGATGGGACTGAGACCAGGAATTATCAGTGTGAGCCATTTGCTATGATGCTCCTCTGGGGTTTTACTTGCTCAGTCAGCACCAATTCTCTGGATAGCTCCACTGGCAAAGGAATAAGGCTGGCTGCAAAGCCAAACAATTTAAATGCAATACTTGATGCAGTGTGATATGCAAATAGTGTCTACTTCTTCTTTTTAACCTAAGCCAGGGGTCTTCAAACTTGACAACTTTAAGACTTGTGGACTTCAACTCCCAGAATTCCTCTCCAGTCATATAAGTTCAGGAATTCTGGGAGTTGAAGTCCACAAGTCTTAAACATGCCGAGTTTGAAGACCCTTGACTTAAGCCATTAGACAAACCATTTTCACTAAACTGTAATTTCCAAGAGACTTGGAGGGTGGATGTGGTGGAAATAACATTTCAATCAGTTTAAATATGTAATTTTGCTCTAGCTATGCAATGTGGTGTATATTGCTTCTGTATTTAAGATGAGAGACAATATAATACTTTTACTAGCATTCCTATATTGCATTCTTTTCCCCTTTTTTCTCTCTGTCCTCTCCATTCAGGTGTATTTGACAATTGCTCTCACATTGGCAGTGATAAGGGGTGGACTTTGGGCATCCGTTTGGAGGAGAATCCTGAAAGAAAGAATGCCCGTTTCTTCTTCTCACTCCGTACAGACCGTGTCAAGAAATCTGCCACTATATTGGCATACCACCGTTACCAGTTCCATACATGGACTCATGTGGCGGCTACTTACAGTGGGAAGGAGATGTTTCTGTATGTCAATGGCAGGCGGGTAGCTCGCAGCTCCCAGCAGTCTGGTGACCTTCACAGTCCGTTCATGGCCTCGTGCCGCACTTTGATCCTGGGAGGCAGCAACTCAGACGGACTCAACTTCCGAGGCTACCTGGCTCTGCTAGCCCTTTGGAACATTGCTATGCCCCAAGAGAAACTCCAAAGGGCCTTCCTGGGAAAGTTTAAAGACAGAGAACTTTCCTTATTGCTCAGTGCAAAGTTCAGCCATTTGCAGCAGCAGTGGGTAACATTCAAGGATGGAGTCTACCCACAAGTAGAGGCGATGTATAGACCAGAACCTCAAGTTCTATCTCCGCTTATACCCCCACTCTGTGGACAGACGGCCTGTGACAATGTGGAATTGATATCTCATTACAACAGCCACTGGCTGCTACGGAATGAGAAAGTAGTGCACTATCGGGTTGTCAATATCTATGATGATGATGGTCTCCATCCTACTGTGAGTGAGGAACAGATTGCCCATCAGCACCAAGCCCTGAATGAGGCCTTTGGCCGCTATAACATCACTTGGCAACTTAGCATTCACAAAGTGTACAATTCATTGCTCCGTTACCGTGTGATTCTAATGAACTGTGAGCCAGGAAAAATTGGCAATGAGTTTTGCAATCCTGAGTGCAAGCATCCGTTGACAGGCTATGATGGTGGTGACTGCCGTTGGCTGGGACGCTGCTATATCTGGGAGCGTCGGGATGGTGTTTGCAACATGGAGTGCAACAATATGCTCCACAATTTTGATGACGGAGACTGTTGTAACCCCAAAGTAACTAATGTAAGGAAAACTTGCTTTGATCCAGATTCTCCACAAAGGTAAGTAGAAGTGGCCAAGGCATTGTGCTACTCTCTGGGGATTTCTAAGCTACAGTCTTTATGAGTAAATTTCTGTTTTTAAAATTGGTTTTTTCCCCTTTTATTGATATACTGCTAGATATCCTACAAAGCTTATCCTACATTAATGTATAGTGTGGCTGATGTTATTAATTACACAAGTATATACATTTGTCCACTAGTGATTTACAGTATCTTTGTGGCATCACCCAGTCATCATTGTAGTGATATAAAATCAGTCCTAATTACTGTTTTTGGTGGGCACAATGGTTGGAAAAGTATAGAAGACTGTCAAAGTTCCTAGTGAAAAAATTACCTTTTCCTCATCCTTTTGTCCATTAGTTATATCTGTGCAAGTGGAAACATACAATTCCAATTCCTTAACATTAACTCACACGTTATTCAGGAACAGTCTTGACTTCATCCTTGAGTATAGTCCATTGTAAATAAATGTAAATAGAAGTTGACAAAGTTTATATTTCCAAACAGCAGTCATATTTTATATTTTTAATTGATTAGGTGATATTTAACCTGTTTTATTTGATATCTAAACAAAGTATGCAAAGAATTTAGTTATTATTTTCTTTCTTGCATACCATTTTTCTTTAGATCATGACTGGCAACTCACTACCCCATGTACTGCAAAAACTGTGACCCAGGGATTTGGGCATTTCCCAACTCTATGCTTTTTCCACCAACCATTGATCAGTTGGGAAGTGCTTTGCTTGTTTGAGTGACAGGAAGGCCAAAGCAGTTTGGGAATGGACCAAATGGTTCTTCTTACCTGTAAGAAGTCCCATCCTGAAAGCACTGCAGTGGAGATCTTGCAGCCGCTTCTTCCATCCCTTGCTGAGCCTTGGTTGATCGTGGAGACGTTCCATGTGCTCTCCAGGTCGGCAGTTGCTTCTCTCCACTGCTGCTCTTGTTGGGAGAGCATCTTGTGCAATTTAGCAGCTGTGAGCTGCTGCTTTCCTCTAAGTCCCATCCAGAAAGTGCTGTGGCTGAGAGAAACAGCATTAAACATGGCTGCTGCTTCTCTATGCTGCAGCGCTTTCCAGATGGGACTTAGAGGAAAGTGGCGGCTCACAGCTGCTAAATTGCATAAGACACTCTTCCAGTCGCACAGAGAGAAGCAGCCGCTGCCCCGGAGAATAAAGATGGATGGGAGCAGGCCCTGAAAGGCTGCTCGGTCGAGCCTCACCATGTGGCAGAAGCTGTGCGTGCGTGTAGGCTCACATTTTCGGTGAACCAGTAGTGAAATTATTTGAAACCCACCACTGTTACTGTGATAACACAAACCCATTAGCACTGCTACCTTATTAATAACCTTTGTAATTAATTTACTAAGATAGCTTTTTCTTCTATTATGTACCAAAATACATACCATTTATCGAAGCATTATATAATACTCATTATTTTGTAGAAGTAGTTTGTTTGGCTTTCTCTTCCTTTTCATTAATTTGTATGGCCTTTGAGCTGTAGATGTTGTATTCTGAATTCTTAACACAATTCTCGACCTCCAGAGTTCTGTAAATTTCCTCCTGGAAGCTGAGCATTTTATTTTATTTATTGTATTTATTTATTTGATTTGTCAATCGCTTACAAGATAATAGGTATAACTATAAACATGAGTTTATACAGGAAATAGGTACGAATAAATCGGGACAATAGGACAGGGACGGTAAGCACAATTGTGCACTTATGCACGCCCCTTACAGACCTATTAGAAATGGGGTGAGGTCAATAGTGGATAGTTTAAGGTTAAAGGAGTGGCGGTTAGAGGATGTAACAACAGAGTCAGGTAGTGCATTCCAGGCATTGACCACTTTGTTGCTGAAGTCGTACTTTCTGCAATCAGGTTTGGAGCGGTTTACATTGAGTTTGTATCTGTTGTGTGCTCTTGTATTGTTGCAGTTGAAGCTGAAGGCATTGTAGCAGATAATTTTGTGTACTACGCTTAAGTCTAACCATAGGTGGTGTAATTCAAGGTTGTCCAAGCCCAAAATTTCAAGCCTGGTGATATAGGGTATTCTGTTGCAAGCAGAGGAGTGTAATACTCTTCTCATGAAATACTTCTGAACTCGCTCAACTGTATTAATGTCTGATATACAGTGCGGATTCCAGACAGATGAGCTGTATTCGAGTATTGGTCTAGGAAAGGTTTTGTATGCCCTAGTTAGCAATTCAATATTACAGGAGGAGAAGCTTCTTAAGATTAGATTTACAACTCTTAATGCCTTTTTGGCAATGCTGCTACGGTGAGCTCTGATGCTTAGGTCATTTGATATGAGTACTCCAAGGCCCCTTGACAGAGTAAGGGTCGTCATATTTTACTGAAGGAAGTTGAAAATTGTAACAAAGCTGGGATATTAGCCAGGAACTATTCCTGGGAAAACAGCAACAAGTGTATCAAACACAGATGGGGGCTACTAGGACCTGAGTTGCTCTTGGTGTATGTGTCAGGGATTATCAAAGTCAATTGCAAGATTTTTTGCAGCTTCCCTAACTGTTATATGACTGTCACAGGTATTTGGCGGTACATTGTTGGTCAGAAGTAAGGTGCACAATAATTCCTATCCCCAAAACCAACACAGAGGCTTTTAGTGGGTCTGGAGTCTGTATAAATTAAATTTATAATTATTGGGAATAATCTTTATGCCATGCTACTACCAACATTTTAGAATAGTCCAGTAGAGGCTCCAACAGTCACATTTTACAGGAATGCTTTTGGTCCATGGAATATAGGTTCCTTATCTCTGATCAGGACATTCTATGAACTTGGCATAATGAACTGTAAGCCACAAAACTCAACTACAATATATTTGTAAAATATTTAAATTTGAATATTAGCTTTGCTACCAATATTTAACACAAGAGTTCATTATTCAGTCCAGAGTTGATTAGACTTTATTGACAGAACCAGCAGAAAATGCTTGAATCAACACGACAATTGAGTTTTAGCTTGTACATGAAAAATAAAAAAAGGGAAGGATAGAAATCAATACTTTTCATTTAGGTTTAGACTGTAATCCCCAGCCATCAGGGGTTTTGTCTGCGAATTCTGGATTGCAGTCCTAATTCTACTGGGGAGATCAGGAATGGGAAATTTGATATTTTATCATCATCTCAAGTATATATGGAGCTATTGGTCAAGTAGAGAACTGTTCTGAACCAGAACGATGAATTTTGTAAGAAAATATTTCATAAATGTGTAAATCAATCAGTTTTATTTTCTATTTGCTCTTTGAAAAATGCCAGCTCAGGAGATAGACTTGGCAAGGACTATTGGAAGTCTATTGTGGAAGGGTATAATAACAGAATCCTGAAAGCCTATCCAGATATTCATTCATTCTTCCTTTTTCTATCATAAAATCAAGGCAGGGCAATTTTGAATTTCTTTCTCCTTTCCTCTTTTTTAAAGTAAAGATGGTGTTTAACTAATGACTGTATGATTATTGAATTATTTCTCTAAGGTCACCTCTGACTCTTCTCTACTTTTCAAATATATTGTAATTTGCCTTATTTCATCCTAACCATATTCCTGTTAAGTAGGTCACTTCTTTTATATTCTTTTTTCTTCTGTATAAAGGATGCAAGAGAGTGATTTGCACAAGACCCAACTATCTCATGGCAAAGTTGGAATCTAAAGCATACGTCTCCAAAATACCAGTTTTGCTGTTCAAAATAATTTTAATTGGAAACAAATGAAGAAAAGCAAAGGAACAAAGATAGTATGATCAGACCCCATCTGGTTAACAGTCCTGGATAGGAGGGCTGATGGTGTTAATGGAAAGAGAAGCAGAAGGAGAGTTTATTTTTATATTTTGCAAGTACCACTAATTTGATTCAAAAAGTCAGGTAGATAAGTATATAGTTTTAACATTAGAATGATATCTATTTGATTCAAGAATAATAAAATAAATGATAGTACAGTATACTAGGAACATAATAGTTCCATCCAGGGGTGGGTTTCTACTGGTTCTGTCCACCTCTGTAGAACCAGTAGCTCTGAAGAGCAGCAGACATAGAACCGGTTCTATGTCTGCTGATGTTTTTGCCCACCCGCCCACCCGGACTCTTACTTGATCTTTATTTCCTGATTTTTCAACTTCAGCCCGCCGAACGAGGCACAGCTGCAGTTAAAAAAGCAGGAAAAGAAGGCTGTTTCAAAAGCTGCATCTCTGCACACAGCATGCTGATGACGATTTACAGGCGCGTGGCTCACAGCATGCAGGGAAGCTCGTAAATCCCGAATCGGTAGTTAACCCTGTCATATCCCACCCCTGGTTCCCTCTTAACCAATTTCTGGAATACTGTAACAGATGATACAAGCCTTGATCCTAAGAGAAGGTGACTGCAGAAGGTGAAGGGTGAGGCTACCAGACCTTCTCTTACATAGGCCAATTCTAGCTGGTTGGGCTGACAGATATTTAGGCATGATGAGTATATAGAGCTTTCTAGGTCAAAACAGTACTTTGCATTGCACTTCTTGACAGCCAGTCAGGGCCCTTAGCCTGATGAGTAACACTTACCAATGAGTTTCAAACACCCTTTCATTTCTGTTTTCTGCATAAATTGTCCAAGTATCCATAGTTTCTGTCTTGTCTATGAGTTTCTGCTTTTAGCAAGTTTCTGACTGACTATGAGTTAAATGTCTGAGGAGGCAAGATTATTTGCTCTGTCTGGAAGGAAGCCTGGCACTCTTCTAAAAGTCTTTTACAAGAAGAACCTTGTTCTGTCTATAGCATCTTAACTCCAAAAAAACCCTGCTCCTCCCTATATTCAATTATTCAGAAGCATATTCTACTAAATTGAATATTTCTGAGTAAAGAGAAAATATGGATTTATTTGTTTATTTTGCTTCCCTGAAAATCCCTTTGTTGTTTCATTGAAAAAGGAATCTGTCCTGCTACTTCAAAATAATACAACAATATTCTTGGATATACAAGAAAATTGCAATTGTGATCCAATTCATCTACATT